CCAATGCAGAGCCCCCTTCAACAGAGCCCTCGGCCGACCTCCTGGTGAACCTGAGCCGCTGCCGCCGCCTCGTTGTGGTGCTGTCCGACGCCTTCCTGGGCCAGGCCTGGTGCAGCCACAGCTTCCGGTGCGTCTCGCGCGGGCGTGGGAGGGCTCCCCCAGCTCCCGCTGACCATCCTGTCCCCGCAGGGAGGGCCTGTGTCGGCTGCTGGAGCTGACGCGCAGACCCATCTTCATCACCTTCGAGGGCCAGAGGCAGGACCCCGCGCACCCCGCACTTCACCTGCTGCGCCAGCACCGCCACCTGGTGACACTGCTGCTCTGGAAGCCTGGCTCGGTGGTGCGGGCGAGGGCTGTGGGGAGGCGGGGTGGGGCGCAGACAGAAACCCTGGTGCAGGCTCGTGGGGGGCAAGGGTCCTGTGGATGTGGGTTCCATGGCCTGGAGCTGCGGAAGGAGGGGCCTTTGAGGGCCTCCGAGGGATGTGGCCCCTGGGACCGTGGTGTTGGGGGGTTGCAGCTTCTGAAGTCGCCTCCCTGTGGTCACACTTGTTAAGGGGCTAACCCTAACCCTAACTGACACCTCTGAATTCCCACTGGCCCCCAGACGCCTTCTTCCGATTTCTGGAAAGAGCTACAGTTGGCGCTCCCCCGGAAGGTGCACTACCGGGCAGGGGCGGGGGATCCCCAGACACGGCTGCAGGATGACAAGGACCCCATGCTGATCATCCGAGGCAATGCACCTGAGCCTCGGACTCTGGATCCTGGACTTGACCCAGACCCGGAGGGAGACCTGGGTATGCCTACCTCAGGCCTGACCAAAGAGAAGGCAGCGTGGGAGAGAAAGGGGCCTGGCTGTGAACTTCCCAGTGTTGAGGCCCCTGGCCCCCCATTGCCCCTTTCCCAGGGGGCACTCTGGTCCATTGCCAGGTGGGAGAATCCTGACCTTTGCCCCCCACTCTGTGTGTGTGGGTGTGTGTGTCTGTCTGTCTGTAGTGACTGTGGACTGAAGGCAAGTGCAGCTTAAGCCCAGGCTTCACCCCACAGGTGTCCGAGGGCCAGTCTTTGGGGAGCCCTCAGTTCTGCCACATGCCAGCAGAGTCACGCTGGGAGAGGCCCAGGGCAGCGAACTGGATGTCTCAGACCTGGGCTCCCGGAACTACAGTGCACGCACAGACTTCTACTGCCTAGTGTCCGAGGAAGATGTGTAGCCCATGTCCCCCCACCCCCTCCCCAGAGCACAAACCTTTCCTGCAGAGGACCCTGCCTGGCCCTGGGGCACTGAGACCTCTGGAGGAGGAGTGTGGCCCCAGGGCCCCTTCATATGCTGGGAAAATAAAGACTTCCTTGGATCTTCCTTGACCTCAACTTCTCTCTGGCACAGGGAGGCTGCTGATCACAGTGTCCTGGGTAGCACATCCCCTCGCCTCCTCCCATTTCTCTGCTTCTCCTTCCCCTCCTCTCTCCTCACTGTCCTCAGCTTCTGATCAAACGCTTGTTGGCAGCAGACCTTTCTATAGTGAAAACATCCACAGTAGTTCCCTGGGCCAGGTGGGTGGGACATGGGGTCCAGTACCTCAGGCCTGGCTACGGTGTCCAGCCGATCTGGTGGTGTGCTAGAAGCTGGGCACAGCTCTGCCACAGGGCCCAGCTCTGTCTGGTGCTGAGCCTCCCTCCAACCTATTCTGGGTCAGGTGAGCTCAGGAGCCGAAATGTGAGTAAAGGTGAGTGTAAATGTGAGAGCCTGTGTGTGTGAGAGAGAGAGAGTGTGTGTGCGCGCGCGTGCGCCTCTGTGTATGTGAGAAAACCAATGAGCTTGTGTGTGTTTGAGAGCCTGTGTGAGTGTGAGCCTGAGTGTGTGTGTGATCTTGTATGTGTGTAAGAGTCTATGTGGGAGTGTGAGCCTATGAGTGTAATTGGGAGAGCCTGTTTGTGTGTATGCGCCTATGTGTGAGAGCCTGTGTACGTGAGACTGCTGTGTGTGAAAGAGAGCAAGCCTTTGTATATGAGCCTGTGTAAATGTGAGTGTGTGTGTGTGTGATCCTGTGTGAGTGTAGGAGAGTATGTGAGCCTGGCAGTGTGACAGCCTGTGTGTGCGTGTGACCTGAGAGAGCCAGGTGTATGAGAGTGTGAGTGTGTGAGCCTGTGAGAGTGTATAGGTGTGTGTGGACATGCGCAGGACATGTGTGTTCAGGCCGCCCCGCCTCTGGAGTCAGGCAGGTAAAGAAGCAGACGCGGGCTATGACTGCTTGTCCATAGTCACTTTTATTGTCTGGTACTGGCCATGATGTGTTTCTGGTTGTGGACATGGCCAGCCCCACCCCCTTGCCAGTGTGACCTGGTCACCTACCCAGCACCGCAGCAGCCACGAACCCCGCCCCTCCCCCACTCTGCAGAAGCCAAGCTCCCAGCCACAAGCCCTGTCCCCTCCCTGGTGGCCCGGACCCATCACAGGTGCACAACGTGGGTCCAGCTCGCACCTCCACAGCCTTCTCCCAGCCGGGCCTCCGGCGCTGCTCTTGTGCATGTCCCTTGAAGCCGCCTGCACCTCTCCCAGGAGGCCTTGGCTATGGGCCCAGGAAGTCCTCCTTCCGATAGCCCTTCTGTGGCCGGAGAGCAGGCAGGTCAGGCACTGTCTGTCCCCAGCCCTGGTACTCTTGGGGTAGCATGTGGTGCCTCCCTGGGTCTTGGGTCCCACTTCCCTTGCTCTATCCACCTCTCCCTCATGGATCCAGGGTTCATAGCCTGACCCTCAGAACCCCTGTACCTGTGCCTCCCCTGGTGCCCTGCCCAGTGTACTTGACCTGGCCACCCCGCTTAGGCTTTAGCACCTACCGCCCGGAAGTCTCGGTGGAGCTTGCTGTACTGCCACAGGTTGGCCAGGAGGCTGGAGGCTGCCCGTGAGGACTTCTCACTGTCGGGGCTGGGGAGAGGCCAGGAGGGTGGTTAGGGACCGACCCGAGGGCAAGGTGAGGGTCTGGAAGGGTCAGTTTGATGTCTAGATCTCGTTCAGAGGTAAGGCCAGAGGTTTTAGTAGACAAGGTCACACTCCAAGGCTGGGGTCAGCCCTGTTAGGCTTGAGGGTGAGGCCTGAGGGCGGGTGGGGCTCTAGGAGGTGGGCTCCATGCTGGGGTGAGGTCTATGCTGTGGGGGCCTCACCTGTCCCGCTTCTTCTTGATGAAGACAAGCTTGCGCAGCCCATCAAAGTACAGCAGGTCTCGCGCAGCAATGGGACTGGCCACGACCAGGTTGTTGAGCACCGCGATGATGTTGACCAGCACGTCGGCGGGGGGACACTTCTCACCCACGCTTCCCGGAAGCTTCTCGATCAGGTGACTCACCACCTTGGTGGCTGCAGGATGAACAGGGAGGTCAGTGCCCGTGTGGTCTCCTGGTCCCTCCCAGTGGGGCGCTGAGGCTGTGTTGGAGCAGAGGCTGCAGGGCAACCCGACTCACACATCTCATCCTTGTTCCGGGCATTGCGGGACAGGTTTCGGATGAGGCCTGTGAGTGAGCGCAGCTGGTGGTGGTCAGCAGTCCGGACTCGGTCCAGCAGGGGGTTCAGGATGCGCTCCTGCTCCAGGGCCAGGCGGCTCAGGACACCAGCCCACTGTGGGAGGGAGCAGGGCGATGAGAGGCTGCAGCCTTCAGGTGAGAGGTCACAGCCTGGAGCCTGACCTGCTGCCGACCCTCCCTCCATGGAAGGGGTGCTTGACCCTCACCCTGCGGTCCCCAGCGGTGATGTTCTGCAGCGCCCCTGCTGCGGCCTCGGTTGTGTGTCGGTTCAGCTCACAGCGCTGCAGCAGCCGGTTGTACAGACCCACAATTTGGGGGCTCCATAGCCACTCGAGACCCTTGGGGTCTTTGGACACCTCCGCGAAGGTGAGCGCATCTGCAGTGAGGGGCAGCTGGGTACAAGGGAGGACAGACAACCAGGGTCAGCTGAGTCCGAGCAGGTGTGAGGTCAGTGGATTCAGGCCACCGTTGGGCTAAGGTGGGACCACCCTCTCCAGCCCAGACCCACCTCTCGGAGTCGCCGGCTGTGAGGTGAGAAGCAGCCCACCATCTCTCCCGGTGGCATCCCTGTGGTGTCCCTGCGGCCCCGGCCCTCAAGCCGCTGCAGTGCGGATGGGGGCATCTCGTCATAGAGACGGTAAGACAGGTTCCTCAGCACACACACTGCATTTTCCACACTCTGTGGGGGGAGCAGAGGTTAGAGTGGGCTAGAGCCCTGCTGTACCCCTAGGCATGGCCACCTCTCACCTTGTCCTCGCATTTGCCCACGTCCAGGGCATGGTTGATGTAGGTGACCAGGGCATCCACCAGCCCATGGCACTCCCTCATTTTCTGGCGGGTAGCTTGGGAGGCAGAACTGAGGTTTCTGTGGACAGAGGCAGAGAGCCCGTTAGGGAACTCCTTCCCCTCAGGGCAGAGCTCTTACTTCTAGGATCCTCAGAAAGAGCCGATCACTCACATACTGATTGTGGAAAGAGTCCAACCCACAGAGATCATGGACAGAGTTCATCCATCATGGATCTCATACAGAACGTACCTCACAGGGACCACAGACAGAGTCCACCCCATAGGGACTATGGACAGGGCCCACCCTACAGGGACCACAGACAGGGTCCATCTCACAGGGACCACAAAGCCCACCCTACAGGGACCACGGACAGAGTCTACCCTAAAGGAGCCATGGACATGGTCTACCCCACAGAGACCGCAGAGAGAGTCCACCCTACAGGGACCACAAAGCCCACCCCACAGGGACCACAGAGCCCACCCCACAGGGACCATGGACAAAGCCCACCCCACAGGGATCACAGACAGGGCCCACCCCACAGGGACCGTGGGCAAAGTCCACCCGACAGGGACTATGGACAGGGCTTACCCCATACGGACTACAGACAGGGTCCACCCCATAGGGACCATGGGCAGAGTCTACTGTACAGGGACCACAGAAAGACAGAGACCACAGAGCTCACCCCAGAGGGACCACAGTAAGAGTCCATCCCACAGGGACTGTGGACAGAGCTCACCCTCAAGATTTCTAGACTGTGATCTCCTTACAGTGACATTGCTGATCCTGGGAATGCCATGTCCACCCTTGCCCACTTCTCACAGTGGGTGCAGGCGGCTCCTGTACATCAGGTCCCACACATCCTTGATTCTATGACACCTGAGTCTGTGGCTTCCAAAGTCAGCTCACTCCTACCTGAGCACACACACCTGGCAGCCCCCACCCACCTCACCTTAGCCCCTGTGCCCCGTGCTCATTGCCAGCCCCTTCATCATTCAAGTCTGGTTCTTGCCCCTCATGGGGGGTCCCCTGCTCCAGCCTGTCCCAGTATGGCTCTTCCTTACAATTCTCATCACAGACTGTCCTGTGACCTGCTCTGACCTGAGGAAGCCGGTAGCATTGTAGAAGATCTCAGCCTCAGAAGCATTCTGCTGGATGAGGGGTGGGCCCCCGGCACCCGACAGGGGGCTTAGCACCAGGTCAGTGAGCTGCTCCAGCGTGTCTCGGGCCAGACGGTCCTTCAGGTGGTCACTCGATGACAGGTTCCACAGGATCCCTGGAGGGAAATGCCGAGGAGGGGGTCAGAATGAATGGTGGGGAAAAGGACCCAGAGTCTTGAGGTGGTCCCTGCCTGAGGGTCAGACAGATCTCCCTGGGATAGCCTGAGTGCACCGTGTACACGAGGTCAGATCCCCAGGAGGGCCTGAGTGTGGATTTGTGACATGCTGGTGAAGCCTGGGCTAAGCAAGTAATGGTAACACTTGTCTCCCAGGCCTGTGCTGCTGGAACCTGACCCAGCAGGACACAGGTAACAAGGTTCATGTGGACCAAGGGGAGTGGTGGGTTGGGAAGAGGTCAGGGTGAGAATACAGCAGGCGAAGAGAGTCAGAAGGCAAAGGAAGGGAGAGACAGGGACAGGGCAGAGTGGTGGAGGGCAGCCAGGATAGTGTGGAGGCTGCACACCGTTCTCATGTGGAGTAGGTGAGAACAGCATGGGGACAGATGGGCACAGGTAAGAGGGACGTGAGGACAGTGTGATGGACTGTCAGGGACAGCTTGGACACGTGGGGACAGGGCATGGAGGAGGAACGTGGTGACAAGGACAGTAGGGCACCTGTGACGTTCTTCCGAAGTTCATCGTCCTGCTCGCGCAGCGTCCGCAGCAGTTCGAAGATGCCATTCTCCTCCACCAGGGCCAGCTTGTTGTCAGCATTGTCGTAGATGAGGTTGCGCATGGCGCCCGTGGCGTGGCGCTGCACTTCCTGGTTGGCGTGGTTGAAGAGCTTCACCAGCCTGGGCACAGCCTGAAGGCTACGGGCCTGTGGGCACAGGCAGGCCAACGTACTCAGAGGTGTCAGGTGTGTGTGGGCATATCCAGGTGTGTACAGTGTTTGCAGGTTTTCGGGTGTTCCCAGGCATGTACAGTGTGCAGTGATGTGTGTGGGCATATCCAGAAGTGCACAGATGTGTGCAGTGTATGTACGAGTGTGTGGGTGGGCATGTCCAGATGTGTGTGAAGTGTTAGCGAGGTATGAGAGGGCACGGAAACGTGTACATATATGCAGATGTGGCCAGGTTTGTTTAGGCATGTTCAGTGTACGGAGAGGTTTGTGTACGTATGCAGGAATGTTTGCAGACGTGTGCACCCCTGTCCTTCCTCTGCTGTGAAGTCCTGGGTGGACAGAATCAGGGCTCCCAGTCATTTTGAGGAGTGAGGGCAGGTCAGTGGGCCCATTGAGGGTCATCCCGGGGCAGCGGACAGGGCTGCGGGTGTCACCTGTTTCTTGGCAGCTGCATCGCTGTAGCACCTGTGCTGGATGTAGGCCGCTCCCAGCACCTGCAGGTTGGGGTCTGAGGCCATGAGGTACTTGACTGCTGATGGCAAGTCGATGTCGTCGAAGCTGTAGGCCAGGATCAGGGGTCAGCCAGACCTCAGGAGAGGGGCCCACCCCTCTCACATCACTCGCTGACTGCTCACCCGCTACTGAGCCTTTGCAGGGTTCGGTGGCCCCCATAGCTGTCCAGCCCTGCCATGTCCGGCAGTTGCCCAGAATCAGCCAGGCTCAGGCTACGCACAGAGGGGACCCTGGCCACAGGCTCCATCAGTGGCCCGGGGGCGGCCCCGGCAATGCTGCGGCTACGATGGCTGCCCTGGAAACGCTGCAGGGTTCTCATGGCAGGCGCGCGGATGGTCCGGCTAGGGGGACCCTCAGTGGCCTCCGGCCAGTCCAGTGCCCCGGCCCGGCTGGAGCTGGAGCTGGCTTGGCGCTCATAGGCAAATGATCGGTAGGCCAGGGGCTCCAGCTGCTCGGACACGACGCTGTAGCGGTCATCCAGGCCTGGCCCCAGCCGCAGGGAGCGCAGAGAGAGCGTGTCGTAGTCCCGCCCGCCAGTGGCCCCCCGGTCATGGAAGGACAAGGGCCGTGCGGGCCCAGCAGCAGGCACAGCCCCATACCCTGAAGCTGCGAAGGGGTTGCCCCCATTGTGGGCAGAGCTCAGCCGGCGGCCAGAACTCAAGTCCACAGCGGAGCGTGAGGACCAGGAGGTGGTGTTGAAGGCAGGCTTGGCGATGGGCCTGAAGGTCTGGGGGGTGGGGCAGAGAGGACCGTCACCTGGTGGGTAAGGCCTCTCAGATGGCCTGCACCAGCCCCCAGAGGCCCTCCCTCCTGGGCTCCTAAGGGTGCACTCACCGAGCTCTTGTCAGCACTCAGGCCCTGGGAGCGTGAACTGAAGCCTGTCTGCAGGGTGTGATACTGGCCTCTGGACGTGCCTGGACACAGGGATGGGGGCAGGGTACTGGCTGGGCAAGTACCCCCTCCTCTGAGAGCAGCGGTCCCTCACTGTCCTCATGTGGGATGGGAGGGGGTAGGTGCTGACTACAGACCTTGCTGCATCCCTCTCCCCGTTCCCCACCCCTCCCTCTGTCATGCCCCAGGAATGTTCTAGGTCCCACTCACCCCTTCCTCCAGGGAGCCCCCTCTGCCCCAGCCACACTGACCTCCCCACATGGAACTCCTTCGCTGCCCAGACCCCATCTGTGCCATGGGTGGCCCACAAGTGAATGGCGACAAGGGCTCACAACACCTTAGACCAGTCGGCCCTGCTGGGTCATCCCCCTCCCACCTGCAGAGCCTGAGGCTGGGGCCACGCCTGCTGGTACCCAACAAGGGCCACAAACTCAGCCAGCGGTGTGGGTGGACAAATAGATGGGGGCGTTGTGTGTGGGAAGGGAGGGCTGGGCAGTGAGGGGATGCTCAGCCAGGTGGGTGGAGAGAGGACAATTGTGAGGACTGCCAGTGGACAGGAAAGGAGCAGATGGAAGAAGGGCCAGTGGGTGCCAGGGACAATGGATAGGAAGGAGAGGAGGATCAAGACATGAGTGGACAGCAAAGTGGATAGATGGACAGAGGGGCCTGTAGACAGGACAGGGTGCTGGGCGGTTGGCCTCTGATGGTCCTTGTTTTGGAGAAGAGACTGGGATTTAGGTGTACAGGGCGGGGGCTCTGGACTCTTTGCGTGACTTTCCAAACTGGTGGTCCGGGCACATTCCCCCAGACCCACCCTGGTTAATGAGGCTTCTGAGGAGGGGCTATTAACCCTTTGACGCCAGTGAGCCTCAGCCTGAGGAGGCACACCCCCCAATTTGGAGAGCCTCACCTAACCCCAAATTATAATCCTCCTTCTAATTGTCAGGGTAGCCAGGATGACAATTAACCCTTCCCACTCCTTCCTCCACCCTGTGACCCCTGGGCACCCTGCTTGGCCTCCAGCAAGGCCAGGACCCAGGAATCCAGGCCACCTGGTCAGTCCTTGCTCATGGCTCCTCTGCCCCCACCTTGCAGGTCTGTGAAGGGCCTGCTGGGGGCCAATATCCTGGGAAGTTTGTCTTAGTGTCTAACCTTAATCCTTGTTGCTGTAGCCTGACAAGAGAGGGCACAGAATGTCTAGAACTGTCCTGAGCTCATTACATCTGTGACATGTGTACACGCGCGCGCACACACACACATCCTTGAGTCCACAGGCACACTCGTGCTCTTACACACGTACACACAGGCATACATATACACACATGAGCGCACACACCACCGTGTATGCCTCATGCTCGTGCACAGCCAGGAGAGTCAGGAACTGGGGTGCAGGCACGGTGGTCCCGGCTGGCACTGGGGGCATCCCCACCCCACTGTTCTCACGCTGTATCTAGGTCATCCAGCTGGGCCCGCCCTGTAATTCCCGTAGGAGTCCCTGGTCCAGACAGGTGGCCCTTGTCCAGGATCTCAGACCCCACCCCCACTTGTCCAATTTATCTGGTCCTGTGGGGACAGAGTTGATGTTAGAAAGGCTGTATCGGGGAGTCACGTGGAGTGTGAGAGTCTGTCTGTGTGCAAGTGTGCCCATGTGTCTGGGTGTATGTCCGTGGGTCTGTGTGCATGAGTGTGTTGGTGTGTCCATATGTCTCTGTACATGAGGGTGTGTGAACGTGTGTGTGTCCATTATGGGATGTGTGTCTGTGTTTCTACATCTGTATACATGTGCCTTAGTTGATGCATCTCTGTCTGTGTATATCCATGTGCATGTGTGTATGTACATATGTCAGTGTTTGTGTATGTCCGTGTGCATGCATATATGTCTATGCAAGTATACCTGTGTGTCTGTGCATGGATGTTTGTGAGTGTATATGTCTGTACACACATACTTGCTTCTGTGTGTGTAGCTCTGTGTATGTATATGTATGTGTGTGCACATATATATCTGTGCATGTGTGTCTGGTTTATAGGTGTGTGTGTGTTTGTGTCTGTGAGGTCTTTCTCTGTGTACATCTTTGTGCATGTACATGCCTATGTGTCTGTATATGTGTGTATACGTAAATGTGTCCATATGTTTATGTGTGCACATGCTGGGCTCTCTGTGTGTCTGCACATGTCTGCATGTGTATGTCAGTGTGTGTGTCTGTCAGTTTGTGTGTGCATCTGTGTGTCTGTCAGTGTCTGTGTGTGCATGTTTGTGTGTCTGCACATGTCTGTGTGTATCTGTGTATGTGTATGTCAGTGTGTGTGTGCGTGCATCTGTGTGTCTACAGGTGTCTCTGTGTGTATGATTGTGTGTCTCTGTGCACCTGTGTGTCTGTGTACACCTATGTGCCAGCGTATGTATGTCAGTATGTCCGTGTGTGTGAGTCTGTGTGTCTGCACATGTCTGTCTGTGTGCATATGTGTGTATCTCTGCGAGTGTCTCTGGGACCAGGTGTGAGTCTCGCTGTAGGCCAAGGTGATAATCTGTTTGCTGGTTTGCCGAGAGATGACAAGGATATCCCTGGCCTGGCCCCATGTGCTAGGTACTGCCTGCTGTGGTGCCCAGGAGAGCTGATGTCGCAGAGGGGAGCAGGTAGGGGCCAGCCTCCTGTAGAGTCTCAGGTCCAGGCTGGGCAGCAGTATGGCCCCACCTACAGCTTCTCCCCACGCCTAGGCGGGCCGGGCGGGGACGAGTGACTCAGGCAAAGGCCTGTATGAGTCAGGGAGCCACCGCCTGGGAGCCAGGACAGGCCGGCACACAGCCGAGGGCTGTACTCGGCCTGGCCTTGGCCCCAGCCCTAGACTGGCCTTGGCCCTGGACCTGGCCCTGGCCCCTTGCCCGACCCACCACTGGCTGGCTTACCTCTCATGGCCTCGGTGGTCCCCTCGGGCTCAGCTGTCCCATTGGGCCGAGGCTGCTGGCCTAGCTGAAGGAGGCGAGCTCGGACCTGTTCCTGGACGCGAGCTGCCCGCAGTCGCTCAGCCTCTGGACCCTCAGTGCCCCGTCGGTCCAGCTGCAGGTCCGAGTGCAGTGCCAGGGAGCACACTCCAGCCTCGGGCTGAAGGGCGGACAGCAGGAAGTTACTGTCCTGCATGGCGGCCGTGGCGGTGGGCTGAATCCGCCTGGCCTGGGCCTCGGCGGCCGCCTCCACCCAAAACAGTCTTCGTCTCCTCCCGTGCGGCCCTGTCCCCCAAGTCCCCTCCCCACGGGCCGCACCCAGAGCTGGCCTGGAGACAGACGCCCGCCCAGTCCTGAGCTCAGCTAGGGGCGGGGACACCTGGGCCAGGTGGGAGGGAGAGGCTGCTTAAGGTGGAATTTGGGCGGAAGAACAGGCCCTGCCAGGCTTGGGGCCCTGTCCCAGGCTCCCCGACACATCCCATCCCAGGCCAGAGGACTGGGCCTGAGCCTTTCCCGTTCCCATGCTTTAAGGGCCAGCCTGGGTGGCTAGTTGGGCCGGTCAGGGCTGGCCAGCTCCTGCCTATTTAGAGAAGGCCTGGGGGCTGGAGGTTGGTGCTCAGAAAGCCTCCCTCCTGGTGCTGGGCCCCTCCAGACCACCCTGCACCTGCGTCTGGGTGGGTGGCCCCCATCCCCTGGGAGACAAGTGCCTTCTTGGTAGCACCAAAGATGGGGCCATATCCGCAAGAGCCCACAATGAGCCCTGGGCGAGGGTCACAGCAGGAGATGTTGTTTGGGGCTGGGGTCAGTGGTCAAAGTCAGGGCACAAAGGAGACCCTAGAAGCAGTGTCTGGACTACCATCCCCAGGCTTTTGACCCTCTGGCTCCCATCCTGACAATGGTCCGCCAGTCCCCTCCTGGCCCTGGCCCAGCCATGGGGGTGGAGGGCTGTGCTAAGCACCTAAGTCAGAGTGCTGGGCTGTGCAGGCAGGCGGGGCCGCCCCCGGGGTGGACTGACTCAGGGGCCTCCTGTCAGTGCTGGCCTGGCATGGGGGCATAGGAGACCAGCTGCCAAGGAAGAGGCTGGAGCCTGGGAGCTGGAGCTCGGAATGGGAGACTGGGGAGGGGAGTCAGGAAGGGAGATTGGAGGGGACCTTGGAGGTGCAGCCTGGGAGAGGGGTCCCAGGAGGGGTGCTTCAGAGAGAGGGCCTAGGAGGGGAGCCTGGGCGTTTCCAGTCTGAGGTAGGAAGGGAGAGACCAGAATGGCTACACTGGAGGCGATGTCCCAGCCCCTGGTCCCCTAGCCAGGTAGTACATTGTGAAGCTCTGTAGACAAGGCCTGGCATCCAGGAGCAAACACTGGGGGCTGAGGGCCAGCACAGGGCCAGCAAGGCAGGGAGCCTGGTATGAGAGGCTTCAGACATGCCTTCTGGGGCCCCAAAACAAACTTTTCATGCGGTGTGCACCCTAACAGCTCTCTCTAGGTTTTGGGGTTCTGACTCCTGGGAGATCCCACATCTTGGGAGATGGTACCCTGAAGATATCTGAGTCAATCTGCAATTATCCCTGGAAGGGAGTGACGGCCTGAGTTGAGAAGGGGTGAGGGTCTGAGATGAGGGGTGAAGGTCTGAGATGGGAAGGGGTAGGGATCTGAGATGGGGAATTGTGGGGGTCTGATTTGGGAGTAGTGGGGGTCTGAGATGAAGAGGGAGGTAAGAATGAGATGAGGGGCGAAGGTCTGAGATGGGAAGGGGTTAGGATCTGATGATATGAGGAGGGGTAAGGATCTGACTGAGATGGAGAGAGAGGTGAGAGTCTGAGAGGTGAGGGGCTGAGATGAGGGGTGAGGGTCTGAGATGAGGACCCAAGATGGAAAAGGGAGCATCACTAGGGACAGAAGACCAGAGTAAGGGGCCTCTGGCCAAGGCGGGATGGGAGACCTACCCCATGGGTGGCCTGGAGCCCGCAGGGTCCTGGGCCCATCCCGGAGCCCACCTGCTGAGGTGTCCTGGGCTCCATCCTGGGCAGAACTTCAGGCGCCCTCTGCTACAGGATTGCTGTGGGGGCCAGCGGGCGGGGCGGGAACGCCCACCTTGCTCATCAGACCGGTTGCTTCTTTTGGAGACGTGTTTTGTGTGGAAAGATCCTGGGAGACAAGTTTGTGCGGCGTCCAGTGGCGGCATTATCGCTGTCTGGCTGAGCCTGGACCTGCCCTCTCGGCCCCCAGATCCTGAGGCCTTGGTGGGCTGCCCGTGAGGTGCAAGGAGGAGCCGGCCAGGCAGGCAGTGGACAGACAGGGCCTTCGGGAAGACATGGGAGACACTGGCAGGGCCGTGTGGCAGAGATGGGGGCCCTTTGGCTTTCTCTGAGGTGACCTCTGTGGCTGCTGGGTTCCCGAGAGGTGGGGGTCACAATGGGGAACATCCAGGGTGGATGACCGTATGACCCCTCCTTGCACTTGTTGTGGGGGGAGCATTTAGAAGGGCCACTGGTCAGGGCTGAGCTGGAGGAGGTGGTTCTGAGGGTTCCCGGGAGCACAGGAGACAGAGAGGGACAGGTCTGAACAGGGAGGCCTAGGTCCTGCATTTGATCCCAGGTGGGTGCTCTGGTTCCGATTGAGGTTTGAGGGCCTCATGGGGTGCCTGTGCTGTTTTTATGGGGATGGGGAGGGGTGCACCGAGGGAGGAGACTGGAGAGGGTGGCTCTTCAGAGCTGGACTCTGCCCTAATGTCTGTGGGGGAGAGGACAGACTCCGCCTCTTTGGGGAGTGACCCTGGTGAAGTGGCTCATGGTGTCCAAGCTCTCCTTGAGGGTGAGGGGGCTTGGGGGCATGTTGGGGATGCGGTGGGCTTCTAGGAGTGCAGTGGACAGCTAGCTGGCTGGGAGTGGGAGGACAGGAAGACAGTGAAAGGGTGGGATGCTGGGCAATGGGCCAGAGCAGCGAGGCGCGGTGCGTGTGTGTGTGTGTGTGTGTGTGTGTGTGAGAGAGAGAATAGCAGGGGGAGAAGCAGGACACAGAGGGTAGCCCCCTGCGGGTCTAGGCTTTTGGAGTGGGGTGTGGTATTGAGGGACAGGAGGCACTGGAGGAGGGCGAGCAGGGTCCTCATGGGGAATTTGATGGTCTCAGGGAATCTCAGTGCCGGTTCCTTGTGACCAGGTGAAGGGGCAGACTCATTGGACTGGCCCCCAGGTGCACCACCTGCTGCCAGCTGTGCCCCCTTGTCCCTTGGTGCTTCCTGTTGGTGGCCTCCTGTTGTAGCACCCATGCCCACAAACCTGCAGGCAGTTCTGGACTTCAGCCAAGTACAGCCCACAGAAGCCGACCTGGGTGCCTCCTGGTGCCTGCCCTCAGGCCATGAGTGTGAGTATGGCAGGGATGGGTCTGGGTATCCCCTGGGCATATACAGCAGGCAGCTGAGGGCAATCCTGGCTGGGGGCAGGGTGGAGAGGAACCATCCATCCACCTGTCCATCCATCTAGCTACATAGCTACCCTCCGTCCACCTGACAGGGCAGGCAGGAGGGTGAGGCCTTGGCTTCAGCCCCTGGGAGATGAAGAGAAGGCAGCCTATTTCTGGAGCTGAATGAGAGCCTGCCTGGGGTCCTAGGAGGGACTGTGGCATGGACTTGTGGGCACAGCTTGCTTGGAGCTGAGAGCTTGGCAGGAATTCCAAGTGGTGATGTGATGACCTCCAATCCACAGCAGAACAGATGTTCCCAAGGCTGAACAAGTTCCCATAGGTTACACACAAGCTGGTGACAAGAGATTCCTGCCGGGGGAGCAGCAGGAGTGGTCAGGGAATGGCGCTAGTGTCACCAGGGTCATGCAGATCCCTCAGTGGACCACAAGCTGGGATGTGAACACCTCATCCACTCACTCATTTCCCACCCTCTGTCCACCCACCCACCACCTTCTGTCCACCTACCTGCCCAACTCTCTGACCATCCACCTACTCTCCACCCTCTGTCCACACACCACTCACTTTTTGTCCACTCACCCTCCACCCTCTGTCCACCAACTTTCCACCATCTGTCCACCCACCCTCCACCCTCTGACCTCCCACCCTCCTCCCTCTGACCACCCACCCTCCACCTTCTGTCCACCCAGCCTCCACCCTCTGTCCACTCACCCTCCACCCTCTGACCACCAACTTTCCACCCTCTGTCCACCCAGCTTCCACCCTCTGACCACCCACCCTCCACCTTCTGTCCACCCAGCTTCCACCCTCTGTCTACCCACCCTTCTGTTCTCTGTCCACCCACCCTCTGTCCGTCCACCCTCCCTGCACTCATCCACATTGGTCATCCATTCACTGTTGTCAGCTTTGTTTCCCCCTCCTGGTCACAGTGGGTGCTTCTTCTGGGTTGCTGGAAGCAGTACCACAGTATTTAAAAACCATGAGCTCACCAGTGGCGGACAAGTTTCAGTGGAGCTTCCAGGCTGAAACAGACCAAGAAGAACAGGCCATTTCTGAGATGACTGGACAGAGAAAATCTAAGGAATTGCAGCAGAACTGTCTGACAGTGCCAGCATGTAATGCCTTCAGGCTGGAAGTCTCGCACAACACACAGCCCGTGGTGCTGCCTGGGCAGGCTGGCTGGGGTGACACGCAGGCAGGCAGGGTCTCGCTGTGTGTGGTGTTGCTATGACTCGGAGCGGACTCATGGCACCTAACAACAGCAAGCTTTGTTTTTCTTGAATTTCCTGTTCTTACAAGCCTCTCCCATCCTTGCCTTTTATCTGTCTCTTGGGTGGCTCCTGCATTGTAGTTCTTGTTTTGACAATGTCTGTTGTCTTTTGGCTGGACCACACTATCGCTGGATGGAGCTCTGGCCTCACGCCAGGTCCCTGTGGCTTGTCCTGTGCCACGTGACTTCCACATCGAGGAGAACAAGCCCCCTTGGCCGTTCACTCGACCATCACTTCACCTCTGAAGCTTGATGTCTGCCAGCATGGGCCACGTTCTCACATCCATTTGGGAAACTAGTTTCTGGCCCGTGTTGAGTTGAACGGACTTCTGCTTGTTCATCTTTGAGTGGCCCTGGTGGCACAGTGGGCAAGCGCTTTGCTGCTATTTGAAAGGCCAACACTCTAAGGCCCCCAGCTGCCCCATGGGAGAATGGTGTGGCAACCCCTTTTGGCCCACGAAGGGTGACAGCCTTGGGAACTGGGGGGCGCTGCTCTGCCTGGCTCCGCCGGGTCATGGAGTAGGAGGGTTAGGGTCACTTGTTTGCTTTTTGGTGACAGCCGTGCCTCTTCCTGGTGGGCACTGCACACAGAGCCCACTGCTTTCATGACTTTTTTTTTTCGTCTCTTCTCTGACTCCCTTGTTTGTTCTGTTAGGTATCATCTGCTCACTGATCACTTTCACCTCTTCATTCTTCCCATTTCATTTTATGCAATTCTAAGAGATACAGGGTTTCCCCCAATTACTCTCCAAATTACTAAGGAGCAGTGATGTCAGGTTGAGGACTAAGGTGTGCTTGATCCGGGCTGTGGTCTTTTCAATCACTTGCTATGCTGCTGAGAGCTGGAAAAGAATGAAGGAGAGAAGATGAATTGATGCCTTTATACTGTGGTGTTGGAGAAGAGCGCTGGTTAGCTCCTGGACTGCCAAAAGAACAAAAAGCTGTGAGAGAGGCTCTGTCGAATGACAAGTGTGGGATTCAAACCCGCATGTGCAGAGAACAGTGGACTAGCAGTCCATTGCCCAACTACTTGGCCATTTTGTCCCACACAAATTGTGGCTAACCTTGAGAAGAATGGGAATCCCAGAACGCTTGATGGTGCTCACGTGAAACCTAAACTTGGGCCAGGAAATAGTCATCAGACCAGAGCAAAGAAACACTGCATGGTTCAAAATCAGGAAAGGAGTACATCAAGGATACGTCTTGTCTCCATACCTTTTCAGTCTATATGGGGAACAGATCATTTGAGAGGCTGGATTTATGAGGAGAAATGTGGCATCAGGATTGGAGCAACACTCATCAACAACCTTAGTTATGTAGATGACACAACTGGGCCAATTGGCAGCACTATGAGAAATGGAGAGGAGTTTGAGATTTTTAAGTTTCAGCTTGCTCTGTTCCATAATCAACGTTCTTGACATCATTAGTCAGGAAATCAAAAGACAAACTGCATTAGAATAATCTGCTGTCAGGGATCTCTCCAGAGTGCTAAAGAGCAATGATGTCAATCTAGAGACTAAGGTGCACGTGATCCAGGCCATGGTCTTTGTAATTACTTGCTATGCATCAGAGAGCTGGACAGTAACTAAAGACGACAGAATAAGAATTGATACTTTTGAGCTGTGGTGCTGGAGAAGGGTACTAAATATACCATAGGCTACAAGAGAACAAACAGGTCTGTCCTGGAGAGGTTGAAACTAAGTTGTTCCTTGGAGGCAAGGATTTTGAGGCTCTGTCTTACATACTTTGGGCACATAGTTTAGCCAAAGGGACTAGTCCTTGGAGAAGGACATCATGCTTAGAAGGATTGAGGGACAGCACAGGAGAGGAAGACGAGATGGAATGAAACAAAAGAAAGATGCAATGTATTGACACAGTAACTGGGATAATGGGGTGAGTGTGTCAGAGACGGTGAGCCTGGCTTGGGACAGGGCAGGCTTCAGAACTATTGCGCACAGTGTCGCTGAGTTGTAGGTGACTTGATGGCACATGAGAACAACTATGTCTTAGAGAAGGTGCAGCCAGAGTGCTTGTTAGAGGCAAAGATGATGAAGCTTTGTTCTCACATACTTTGGGCATATTGCTAGGAGAGGTTATTCCTCAGAGAAGGCCATGATGCTTGGAAAGTGGAGGGTCTTTGAAGAAGAGGAAGACCCTCCACCAGGTGGACTGACACAGTGACCGCAGCAATGGGCTCAACTGTGTCAGAGACTGCAAGGATGGGCAGGACAGGGTTCAGATCTGTTCACCCGATGGCACCTAACAAGAGAGGAAGGAGGGCCAGTCTGAGGAGATGAGACACAAAGATGGTACAATCGTGGCTTTGGAGATGGGGGGTCCAAGAGCAAAGGGATGCAGGTGGCCTCTAAGCCGCCACTGTCGGAACCTGGACTGCAGGATTTTTGTTAGAACAGGAAACTCACATGGGCCACCAGTGCCAGGCAGAGCACTGTCTGTCACAGCCAGGACCACCCAGCAGAGAAAGCAGCTGGGGCCCCAGAGACAGCAAGAGGGTCAGCAAGCCCCAGTGTCCCCCAACTCTGAACATTAGATACATGTGCACAGGACGACACTGGGCAGCTCTTCCCAGGAGCTGAGCCAGCTGCTCAGGGCTTTCAGCCCCAGTATCCAGAGCCCCAACTCCTCTACCTCATCTGAGGACAACTCTTCACTCCTGGGGTGTAGAGCACCCCATTCACTGTGGAGGCCTGGCACCATTCTCTCTACACAATACTGGCGGTCCTAGGAGACTGCCATCTGCCCTCTGCTTGTAGTGGACAGCCCTGTTATCAGCCACCTAGTGGACCCTGCATTTACTGCGGATCAAGTCTGGAGTATCTTGCACCCCTCAGTTGTTTCTGGCCCTCTGCAGGAGGCTACAATCAAGGTGTTCAGGCAGGGGTGGGTGAGGGGTGGTCTTGGGAGTTGATGGGGGTCAGCTTGTGGTGGAAGGGGTGGCTGTAGCTGGGGTTCAGGAAGGCAGGCCAGGAGCAGGCCTAAGACCGCAGGAGACCACTTCGAACTAAAAAAAATACTTCATTTTATTCTGAATAAAAAACAGAACAGACAGAACTCTTGGAAATCCTGAAAACAATGTTGTCACTACAGCAAAATTTCACAGAAATTGTCAGACAGCATGAGAGCAGAGCCTGGGCCCTGCTGCGAAGGCCGCCTCTCCAGGGAGTCAGAGGGGAGCAGGCAGCATGGTGGCTGTCCCCACCTCATGGCCCCTCCAGGTCTGCCAGGCACCTCAGGGCAGCAGGACTGGTGCGTCTTCACTGTCAGTCTGTCCGGGAGTTCTTCCGGCTCCGTGTGTCCCACATTCCACGCTTGGAGTGGAAGTAGTGGAAGAAGTTCCTAACACGGAGCCGCTCCACCTCCAGCCCTGCCTGCAGGACCCTGGGGGTGAGGTGGGGGTCAGGACCTGGGGTGTGGTGGGGGTCAGGACCTGGAGTGAGGTGGGGGTCAGGACTTGGGGTGAGGTGGGGGTCAGGACTTGGGGTGAGGTGGGGGTCAGGACCTGGAGTGAGGTGGGGGTCAGGACTTGGGGGGTAAGGTGGAGGTCAGGGGTGAGGTGGGGGTCAGGACCCTGGGGGTGAGGTGGGGGCCAGGACTTGGGGGGGTGAGGTGGGGGTCAGGACCTGGGGTGAGGTGGGGGTCAGGACTTGGGGGGAGGTGGTGGAGGTCAGGGGTGAGGTGGGGGTCAGGACCCTGGGGGTGAGGTGGGGGCCAGGACTTGGGGGGTAAGGTGGAGGTCAGGGGTGAGGTGGGGGTAGGACTGGGGGGTGAGGTGGGGGTCAGGACCCTGGGAGTGAGGTGGGGGTCAGGACCCTGGGGAGGTGGAGGTCAGGGGTGAGGTGAGGGTCAGGACTGGGGGTGAGGTGGGGGTCAGGATACTGGGAAGTGAGGTGGGGGCCAGAGGTGGGGGGGTCAGGACCCTGGGGATTAATTTGGGGTCAGAATCTTAGGGGGGATTGGAATCCTGGGGGATGGGGTGTCAGGACTGTGCAGGGAGGAATCAGGCTGCAAGGCTCCGGAGGCCCTTCAGGCCCCCTGGAGTCTGTAGGACCAGGAAGAAGGGGCTGGAAGGGGCCAAGCTCTAGTTTAGGTACCACAACTATAAAACTTGTGGGAGGCACGCAGGCTAGGGGCCCAGAGGGCCTGGAGGTCCTTCTGATGGGGACAGTTAAGGACCACTGAATCCATAGGATCTTGGGGCAGAACTGGAAGAAGGAATGGGGTTTTGAGGTGTGGCCCAAGGGACATTCTGGATCCTGGGGAGACAGGAGAGGCAGAGCAGCCCCAGGGCCTAGAACCAGGTCCATTTGAAAAGAGGGCACAGGGGAGAGCGGTTACCTGTCCAGGAGCTCCCAGTCCTCGCCACCCCACTGGTCTCGGAACTCTTCCGTGTTCATTCCCCCAACACGCTCGAAGTCAGACTTATAGATCCCAAAGAGGCCGAAGCCGTTCACCTCCCAGTAGCCTGGGGAGGGGAGCCCTTTGTGACCCCTGAAGGCTTCAGGAATTGCTCAGGGTCCATCCCCATGGGGTTGGGGTCCCATGACTGCAGGGTACATGGAGGTCCCAAGCACCTGGCATCCCCCTGGAGTCCTGGGTTCTACACTGGGCATCTGGTGGCAGACGCAGAGCTTGGCTTACCATGTGGCTTCTCTGGTGAGCTCCCGCAGCCCAGCCGCATGACCACAGGGGCAAAGGCCAGCTTGCCCTCCACACAGTGCTTGCGGATGCTGTCCAGGATGTGTGGCGGGAAGTGGATGTGCAGGTCACAGAGGAAAACGATGCTGCTGGCATCCTGCAGGGTCCAGTGTGAGCCCCACGTTCCCAGGCAGGCCCTCCGCCCCCTCCCCCCACACCATCCAGCTCTCGAACCTCCACAGCGTCCACTCCTGCCTGCAGCCCTGCTGAGCGCTCAAAGTTTCCTGTCCGTCTCAGGTACTGGTACCTGGGGGGAGAGCCAAGAGGCTGGGTTCCTGGGATGGGAGAACAGCCTCCAGAGGCAGGGAGATGCGTTGGTCCCGCTGCCCGGGGAGGTCATTACCGGGGCAGCTTTGCTGCATGCAGGGCCTGCTCGATGTCCATGTCCTCGCTCTCAAAGTCCACCAGGACGACATTGAAGTGCGAGTCGCCAGTGCGGGCATGCAGTGCGGCCATATCTGCCAGGAACTGTACCACCCAGCGCGCCTGGTTCTTCACTGCAGGGCCGGCATGAGGCGAGCTGTACCTCCACTGCTCAGCGCCCCTGCCCCCAGCGCCCCCTTTTCCTCAAAGTCTGAGGCGGGCGAGCAACATCCCCCTCCCTGGCTTCTGTCCCCAAGGACTCCTTGAGCCTCCCTTCATGAAGACCAGCCCCGCACACCTGGCACGATGAAGTGCACCATTACGTCCTGGCGCCACACCAGGCGCAGGGGCCGGCAGAGCTCGGGTCGGCCATCAGGGTGCTCGGAGGCCACCGGTGCAGGTGTGGGGCTCCCTGCATCCCCATCCACGTCCCCCGTGCGGACCCCAGGCAGCCGCAGGAAGACGAACTCAGAGAGGCGCAGGCGGCCACCCCCTCGCTCCTGCAGCTCCAGCTCCAGCAGGAAGCGGCTCCCGCGCGCAGAGTCCCTGCGCTTCTCCACGTTCACGATGCGCAAAAGCGCAAAGCGCCTGTGAAGCGGAGCCAATCACTGGGCGGCTATTGCTGCAGGCTTCCGGGTGTGCACACACCTTTTGTGAGGGACACCCCCCAATCAAGAAACAAGGCCGAGGACACCACGGAGGAGTGGAGAGGGCCTTTCCATATCACCCTCACCCCTAGCTAGGCCCACACCATACCCCCTATCTGAAGCTTTTAGAAGACAGGCTAGTGGGAAGTCCTCTCCTTAGAGCCACAGGGAGGCCTCTCCTGGCTAGGCCCTACTGGCTGTCCATTATAGCTCCTCTACGTCCCTTCCTAGCCTCCCCTCACCCCCACCAGGCATGTTCTTCCCCTCAGCCACTCTCAGGGGTTCTGGCTGCCCACAGGACGAGGGTTCTATTTCTTGATGGGCATTCTGGGACCTTTGCAGCAGTCTCCCCAGCCCCCCTGCCTCTGGGCACTGTCAGTGACTGTCCTCGGATGCTTTATCTGAAAGACATGGCTCAAGCCTCCCCAGGTCCCTCCCCCTCAAGGTCCAGCTCCTGGGTTCTTACTGGAGAAGAAAGCCCTGGGGCAGCTGCATGGGAGGGGACAGCAGTGGATGCCTGGGGGCCAGACCAGAGAGGCCTCCTGGGATAAGAGCTGTGACCCCTTTTAGTTAGGCCTGAACTCTAAGAAGACCCAGCAGGTAGCAGCTGTTGGGAGGAGGGCCCATGAGGCCTGGGCTTGCTGGTGGGTATTCTGTCTGGACTAGCCTGCGAGGCTCAGATCCACCCACCCGCCGGGGAGCAGAGGCACAGGAACAGGAGAGCAGGCCTGGGAGGAGGCCCCCGTCTCCAAAGGACCTTGGGTTTCCCTTAGGATGTGACAGCCAGTGAGATGCCATCCAGGCTGGAGTCCCAAGTCTGTACCCGCCGTGGCGTGCATTGAGCCGCTCCATGTATTGTGCCACCACATCGACAGCCTCAGCCTCCGCCAGCTGCAGGTTCCCGGACACGTTGCACCGCAGGTCGTTCCAATCAGAGCGCAGCAGCTCAAAGTCCATAGTGGCCACGCTGAAGGTACGCTGCCAGTCAATGGCGTCCTCCCGCCAGCGGCCGTGGTGCCTGCCTGGGCGCACTGCTTCCTCACTGTCCTCCGATGCGGCCTCATTGCCTGGGGCCTCATCTTCATCCCCCTCCTCCTCTTCCTCCTCCTTGTGCTCCCCCGAAAGCTGAGGCCTGGACACCTGGGATAGGCTCAGGAAGGAGGTCACTGGCCGTGCCTCAGATGAGGAGTTTGAGTTCACAGTGGGTGCCACAGGTCCTGGTGTGCGCCAGTGGCTACCCTGGGGGACTTGTGCCCTGGCCAGGGGGGTGCTGGTTCTGTGGCCATGGGGCCAGGGTGGTCGTGGGGGTGCCCGTAGATGCACCTTGGGCAAAGGCCTGGGGCGGAGGAAGAGGCCAGGGAAGGGAGCCCAGGGTGGGCTGCGGGGTGCGAGCGGTGCAGGAGCCTGGGCCAGTGCAGGCTTCCCTGGGCGCACCCGAGTGACATATACCTTAGGGGTTGGTGGCCGGGCCTTGGCATGGGGTTGTGGAGCATGACCCAGGAAAAGTGGTCGGGACGGTGCCCGGTGAGCCCATTTCAGTGCCCGGGAGCGCCGAGGGGTCTTGACGTCTCGGGGCTGGGGTGGAGTCAGTGACCAGGAGGGGGCCCCGGTCACGGTAGGGAGGACTGGGGAGGGGTGCTGGTTCTGTGTCTTGGTTGCCTTGGAAAGCTCCAGACTGTCTAGTAGCTCGCCCTCATCCTCATCGTCCAGGAAGTCTGTGGGGAGAGGGTTGGCCACCCCACTACATCCATGGGGAGCCTAGATCACAGGGCACGGAGTGCAGGACTGAGGGTCACAGGGGGTGAGGGTCATGGCTCATGGGGTGGCAAGGCTGAGGACCGCATGCGTGGCACAGGGCAGTGGGGCATGGGGCTAAGGCATGTGCGGCTGAGTGTCACGAAGTATGGGGTAGAGGGGTGGCAGGGATGAGGGGTGTGGGGTTGAAGTTCAGGGACTGAGGGTCACACAGCACAGGGCTGAGAGGAATGGGTAACACGGCACAGGACGGAGGGGTATGGAGTTGAGGGCCACATAGCACAGGACTGAAGGGTGGGGGAGCTGAAGGGCACAGGGCTGAGGGGTATGGGGTTGAGGGTCACACAGCACAGAACTGAAGGGTGTGGGGGCTCAAGAGCACAGGGCTGAGGGTTGTGGGGTACAGGGCCCGGCACTGAGGGACAGGTGGGGGCTGGGGTGCACCAACCATCTGGATTGAGGAAAAGGAAGGCTCGGCGCTGCACTTCCTCATCTTCCTCCCCTTCCTCCTCATCCATCTTCATGTACTTGTAGAACCCAAACCTGGGGGGGGGGCAGGGCAGCACTTCAGAGACTGTGCCCAGTTTTCCAGCCCCCAGTCTGCCCCCAGGCCCACCTTTCCAGGTACAAGGGCGACTCCCGGTAGAAGCACTTGTTGTCTGTTTCCATGTGCGTCAGGCGTGTATAGTCATTGGGGTACACAAAGGACAGGTACACCTGAGGGGCAGGATAGGTGGGCCTGAGGGTGGGCAGAGGGCACACGGGTGGGAGGGGGCTGGGGGACGCTGGGATGGGTACGTACAAATTGCAGCCCCTGGTATCTGGCGATGGGAAAGTCCTTGACGACGTAGGTGGGGGCATAGGTGCAGGCCTCCAGCACATTCTCCAGGTACGCAGGCTCCATCCGGGGAGCTGAGGGTGGGGGGCAGTCCCAGTGAGGCCCACCACACCCACCCACCTGCCCCTCATCTCCTGGGCCCCTCTTACTGAGGAAGAAAGTGTCTCGGGCATCAGGACGCAGCATGTCAGCACTTGGCTCTTCCTGTCGCTGTCCTCCCATGTGGCTGACTCCTCCTACATAGCTGGCAGGGGACTGGGGGACATGGGCCACGTGGTCCATCTTCAAGGATGACTCATCTGGAGGCAGAAGAATGTGTGTGTAACCCAGGAGTGTCTGGAAATCCCAGTGCATCCCCCATTCAGACACCATCCCCAGAAGACTGTCCTAGTGCCCCAGAAGGTTCCAGATTCACACCTGTATAGAGGGAGATGTGGGCAGAGTCAATGACCTCAAACTTCAGGCCCGGGAGGAAAGCACGCCACTGGGGACAGAGACAGCGGTCAGGGATGTGGGTGGTCAGCTGGGGCACGGATTTGACTAGGACAGATGGGTGGGGCAGAAAACTGGCTAGGGCAAGGATCAGGCTACGGTAAGTGGCTGGGGCAGGGACCTGGCTGGGGTAGGGACCTGGAGGAGGGCATATTCCCTGGGAGGAATTAGCTCATGAGAACCAGTCAGAGGGCACAGACTGCTTAGTGGCTGAAACAGGGGTCCTGAGTAGCAGCCGCTGGGAAGATGAGGGAAAGCTCTCCCATGCTTCCTTCCCCACCTGCTGGTCACTCTTGCCCAACACCCCCAATCTGCTGCCATTGCCTCATAGGGCAGCACCCCAAATCAACTCCTGGGGAGCTGACAGGTGCCCCTCTTCCCTCAAATTGGGTGTCTCGGGGCTCTGTTGGAAGCCACTTCTCATGCTGGACCCTCAGCTGCCCCTCAGCTTCAGCAGGGTCATCTCAGTCACCAGATTGGAGCTGCATACACTGATACACGCAACACCTCACCACCCTGTCCCCACACCCTCTCCAACCTGCTACCCCTCTGGTCCAGGTGCCAACGACAGCTGTGAAAACCTGTCATCACCAAGGTCTCATCTATCTCCCATAGTTGAAGGCAGGTGTTCCTTCTGAAACCTGCATCCGATCAATTCTGCTTTCAGTACAAGGCCTGAGCTGTCTAGGTGGCCATCTGGACCCTGAGAATTCTGGCAGTCTCACTTCTAGGCTGTGCCCTGTGGCTGATTCTATAGAAGACAAGGCTCCTCAGGACATTCACTCGTCTCTTGAGCTTCTGCAACCCCTCCTGTGAATGAGACCCTCTGCCTTACCACCCTTTCCCAGCACACCTGCTTTATGGATCACCCTGAAACTCCGCAGGGGCCAGGACTAGTTCTCTAAGGTTTGCGCAGATCCTCCAGACACCAAGTAGGGGGCACAGAGAGGGTGCTGTAGGCTGGGAGTGCTGGAGGGGCTGGGGCAGGCAGGGGCGGAGTCTTGGAAGACCTTGGAGGGCCCCAGGGTGCAGGGCTGCACTCACACCCACTTCTACATGGTCGGAGCCTTGGTCATCTTGCTTGTGCAGCAGCTCAAAGTAGTACTTCCGTGAGGCCATGAGCCTGGGAGACAGAGAGTCAGGGACACATCCTGCCAGTGGTGACAGAGGACCTCCCGCACCCCAGGGCAGGTCCGGCAGGAGGGAGGACAATCTGGCTGGGATGGCATATGTGCAGTGTTGCAGGCATGCATGCCAGTGTGTCCCAGTGAAATGTCACCTATCTACACACCCACGCGCGTGCTCTCATGCACACAAGATTCTGTATACACACATCACGCGCACACATGCAGATAAATACCCACGCGTGCACACACCTCCCTCTCCCGTAACTCACCGCCTAGGCCGAGACACCTGGGAATGGAACTTGGTGAACTCTCCAGGTGCTGTCCACTCTGAGCCAGTCTAGGGGGTATGAAAAGGTGATGAGAGCTCACTGTTGCTTGGGGATCCCTAGCCCCTATGTCTAACACATTGGGGACAGGTGGCAGAAAGCCCTGGAGGTACAGTGAATACAGATGGGGTGTGGATGGAGAAGGGTGGGGTGGGGAAGCTATACAGGAGCTGGGGCCATGGGGCAAATATGGGAGAGCTGCACACAGGTGCTGAGGGCCCCATAATGGGGTCCCTAGGGTGGCAATCAAGGGACTATGGGTTGTGCAAGGGTCTATGGGGCTGGTGGAGTGGGTGCCTTCTCCACAAAGGTGACCGAGGACTCCCACAAGGAGGGGCAGTACGATGAAGACAGGAGGTGTGGACGGAGTGGTACGGTGGGAGCTGGGCAGGGAGGGAAGAACTGGAAATTGAAGGGAGGAACCTCTAGGTGGGAGCCTGTGGGATAAAAGTCAGCCTGGGCTGAAGGATGGGCAGGGTCCCAGCACAGGTTCCAAGGCAAACAGAGGGGTCTTGGGATGTATACTGAGGGGCTGTGGGCACAGGTACGAGGGGCCTGGGCAGGGTCCAAGGATGGGTACCTTGCCCACGAAGGCCACAAGCTGGGCACCTGCTGGAGTCTCATCAGGGCTTAGCCAGAATTCTGAGTTGTCATCTGAAGCCACAGAGAACTGGACATCTCCTAGGCCACAGGACAGGGTTCAGGGCAGGTGGCTGGGACCCCTGAGGACCCCATCCCCTGTGAATCCCCACCCTCGCACCATCTCTGGCAGGGTGGATGAAGCCAAAAATCCGAAGTCCATAGTTTTTCCACTTGGGGGACACAGCCAACTTCTTCACAGTGGTGCGAGTCTGTGTGGGTTGGGGTCAGGGGTCAGAGTCGAACTCCATCCGCTGCCCACCCTCTCAGCCCCCCCCTCCCTCCCAGCTCAGCCCTGCCCCCTCCTGTGGATTCTCACATGTGGGAAAAGTGGAAAGTGCAGGTTCCTCCTCAGGTGGCCCACAGCCCCTCCACACCAGTCCTCGAACACATGGAGGTTCACCTGCCCCTTGTACTGGGGAAGGAGCATCTTACCTTCAGCCTCTGTCCACCCAGCCCACCCTCCACCCTCACAGGCCAGCAGCACTTACCTCCTTGCGCCATAGTGGGGTCTGTCGTGTGAGGTTCAGGGAGGGTGGTCTCCCAGGCCCCCCAGGAAAGAGTATGCTTGGGTCCTGACCTTCCACCTGCAGGATGGGCAATTGCCATGGTCAGAAGCACGAGGGCAGGGGACAGGAACTGGGTCACAAACACACACCTGGGTGGAGACACCACACACTTAACGTCACACCCAGACACAGACAGTGCGACTCATTGCACAAAGACCCTATTTCACACAGAGCCATGTAACACCTGCTTACCTTCCAGGTGTGCAAACCCTGAGCCATCACACCCTGGCCACACGCTCAGGGGCCTGCACCACAGCTGACAGCAGCCACTCCACACAGACACCAGGCACAAGGGTCCAGCCCCTCCAGCGGCACCTCGGTCCACCTGGCACATGCCAGGTGGGGGCTGTCTGTGTCTGGGGTGCACTTTGGGAAGTGCCTAAGCAGGGTATGTCCTCCCCCCGCCCCCCAGGACATGTGTCAGGACGCTTACCACCTGCTCCTCCTCTCGACTCTCACTGGAATCCTCAGCCCTCTGTGTGGATGGTGCAGCCTGGACACCGCGGCCATCGGTCACCCCAGCCAGCTTTTCGCCATCTGTGGGCAGCACATGCGACGTGGTGGGGTCCAAGCATACCTCTCTTGTTGTTTTTGATTTGTCATCGAGTCTAGCATGACTCATAGTGACCCTGTGAACAAAAGGCCTGAAGCCTTTCTATAACTACTGTCATTTATCAAAGTTCATCATTTCCAGAGGCATGTTGTTTAGAAAGTGGACGCCACTCCTGCTTCCAAAAGCATACCTCTTCTGCTGGCAATTGGGTGGCCACCGGGGGCCTCCCCTCAGCTAAGGATGTGCCCTTGGTCCAGTGTCACCTCTGGAGGGGCAGCCTGGCTGGGGGGCATGTGAAGGGAGATGATCACTCGTGTGGATGAGTACGTGGTATGGACACCCTGACTGAGTGGCTGCCTGCAGCCTGCTCGGACAGCTGCCCCTCCTTTATCCAGCTCCCTGACCACAAATGCTGCCTGCCATGCCCACCTGAGCCTCATCCTCTCTCTTACTGGCCTGTCCATCCTTCAGCTGCTGGAAGATCCCGAGACCTAAGTGCCCTAGAGAGACTACCCCAAGGGTGGCACTTCAGTCTGCTGAAAGACACCTCCCAGCCTGGGACAGACCACTGCTGCACCCCAGCTCTGCCTGTACCGCTCCCAGAAATGTGGACCTGACCATCCCAGACCACTGCCAGCTGGTTCCAGCCTGGCCTCTGATCCTTCATCTGTGTAACTCTATCCCACCACCGAGGGCTAAGTCTAGGCTGTAACATCCAGGCCTCACTGCAGAATATACAGCCCCTCTCAGGAGGGCAGCCTGCCCACAGTCGCCTCAGCAAATGACCAAGGCAGTGACTGTCCCCTCCTCTTTGTGGCGGGGTCTTCCCCCGGCAGAGGGCTCTGCCTAGTAGTGCAGAGGAGTTGAGCCCAAGAGGCATCCAGCCAAATGCCCACAGCCCACCTAGTGAAGCCAGCGCACCCGTGGTGCTGGGCATGTGTTCACCTGCCTCCTTGGGGACCCATCTGCGCAGGCCACTGGGATATGTGGGAGAAAACCCTCCATCTTCCGCCTCACTCCATGTAACTGCCCCAGAAAACTCAATCTGCACAGAGCTGGGGACGCAAGGAACTGGGGTAAGGGCCCCACTGGGTGCGAACCTGTTCCTGTGGGTCATGGCTCTGGGGACTCTGGTCCATCCTGTGACTGAGTTGAGGCCAGCTGGTATGAACAGAGGTGAACATGGGTTCCCTGTGCCCTCCCCATGAGGCTCTATTCCTCATCAGGGTATCAGGCACAGGAAATCACAGGGTTTAGTTCTGTGTCACTGTGCCACACGCTGAAGGGGTGTGCATGTTCTCTGTGGGACTCTCCACACTGGTGGCCCTGGTGCATGGTCACTTGGGTCTGGGGGGTCTGGGTGTGTGGGGCCAGGTCAGGACAGGTGCATGGTTACTGTGGGGCTAGGAGGTCTGGGGCGTGTGGAGCCAAGTTAGGACAGGTGCATAGGCATTGTAGGGCTGGGGCGTGTAGAGCCAGGTCAGTATGGACTGGTGAGGCAGGAGCTTGGTCCCTTGGTGGAGTGGTCCAGGATGTTCTCAGACAGTGGAGGAGAGGAACCCCATTCCCCACCCTCAGGACCTGGATATGTGAGGGTGTTGGGCAGCTGGGCGCCCTCCTGTCTTGAGTCTCCACCTGTGTCCTTAAAGCCCATATCCACAAGTTCAGGCCTACCTCCTCTCGTCGCCTTCTTTTCATGCTCTTTCCCCAGATGCCACCAAAGGTGCCAGCTCTGAGGCCCTCCCAGACCCCACCCTGTCCTCCACAGCCCTGTCTATGGGTTCGATTGTGCTCACTGGAGTGTGAGACGGGAAGCCGCAGGTGAAGAGCTTATGCAGCAGCTCAGGGCACCCCAGGTGGAAACCCCCATGTGTTGTCTCCCAATACACATGCGTGGAGCTCTCCTCACAGGGACACCCGTGGCGTCTCCAGGACGCGCGTAACAGTACGGGCCAGCTCCGTAAGCTTTCTTGGGCTGGAAAATGGGCACTTGATCCTGAGAGTAGATGGGGAAACTGAGGCTCCACTGGATTGGCCTTTTGGAAGCTGACCGTGGTGGCCAGATGGCTCCAAAGAGACCACCGCTAACCCAGTCAGTTCGGGTCCCAGGTCCAGGGGTTCAGGTAACGCTCCCCAGAAGGGTTGCACACGTCACCACTGACGTCACTGGGCATCCAGGCTGGGCCTAGCCGCGCCCTTTCCCCTAAATCGCCTAGCTAGGGGGGGGCCCCGCTCGCCCGTGCGTGGCCCCGTGCGCCCTGGCGTACCTCGCCCGTAGCCCAGCCGCTGGCGCAATGCGCGGCCCTGGCGCACCAGGCTCAGGTGCACGTACGTGAGCCACGCGGCGCAGGTGAGCAGCACCAGCACCAGTAGCAGCTTGATTTGCTTGCGGATCTTCTTCACCGGGAACCACGGCATCTCGGCCGTCGGCCCGCCCGCCGCGCTTAGCGGCGCCGCTGCG